TGATGCCCACCGAACCACTGTACTTTGGAGTGAGTTTAGGAGCGCTCCGTTTGGACGGAAGTAGCGCTTTGCCACCCTCCCGTGGCAGCAAAAGATTGCCGAGGAACGATGTTGACGTGATTTGAGGAATTTCATTTGGACAGAAGTCGTGGCTTGCTGCCAGGTCGTGGCATCCGGGTGCCATGGAACCATGCTGAAATGTGTTGAGGGGTTTCATTTAGCCAAAACTTGCACTTTGCTGCCACCTTGGGGCACGTTGGTGCCAGACAACCACATGCGGGAGTTCCGGTTTGACAGCAGTCGAGCTGAGCTGCCTTCCTGTGGCATCTGCAAGTGAATTGGGGTTGTGTTGCGTGTTGCGTGTTGCGTGTTGCGCGTTGCGTGCGCCTCAGGTACATCCAGGCGGCCACGTCGCCCAAGGACATCATCATCATGGTGGACATCAGCGGCAGCGCTTTGCTGCCACCTTGGGTCACGTTGGTGACAAACAACCACATGCAGGAGTCCCAGTTTGACATCTGCAAGTGATTTGGGTTGTGTTGCGTGTTGCGCGTTGCGCGTTGCGTGCGCCTCAGGTACATCCAGGCGCAAAACACTCTGAACTTACTGCCCGTACAAAATACAGCGACTTGGGTGTTTCTGCTTTGCTGTCGACACATTGCACTTACGTTTGTTTTGTGAAATGTGATATAATCCCAAACTTTGTCGACAGAAATCCAAGAATAGATTTAAAAATAAAGCTCAGCCAGTGAGAGTCGCCGAACATACCAAGATGGAAAATGTGGGATTTCAGATTGTCAGATTTCAGAGATTGTCCATCGGCCTTATGTGTGTGTGTGTGTGTGTGTGTGTGTGTGTGTGTGTGTGTGTAGTACACGGATTACGTGCGCTACGTGGAGCCGTGCTTCAAAGGAACTCTGGTCCAAGCTGACCTGGACAACAGGGAGGTAAGGTCTCCGTCACGCAAAGGCAAACACACGCGCGCATCCCCCCGATGAATCCGCCCACGGTGTGTGTCAGCACTTCAAGTTGCTGGTGGAGGAGCTTCACGTCAAAGGAGAAGCAAAGCTCAAGAACGCCATGAAAGAATCCTTCAAGATCCTCAATGAGGTTGTGGGGGCGTGGCTTCGACATCACACACCAACGTGTTCGCAAATGAGGGATAAACGTGAGCGCGTGCGTGCGTGTGTGTGCAGGCTCGTGTTTTGGGTCAGGGCAGCATGTGCAACCAGGCCATCATGCTGATCACGGACGGCGCCATGGAGGACTTTGAGTCGGTCTTTGAGGAGTTCAACTGGCCTGAGCGCAGGGTGAGCGCTCCGCCCGCTCACTCGAGCCGCGCCTCCATGAATCCCTGCGGCGTGCTCGCAAAAACCCAGTCCATCTCGTTTCCTCTTTTCAGGTGCGCGTCTTCACATACTTGATTGGCCGAGAGATGACGTTCGCCCAAAACACCAAGTGGATCGCCTGCAACAACAAAGGTCAAAAGGCTCGGCGTGCGCGTTTAGTCTTGCCACTGTGTGCACGTTCTAGACCAGTACAAATATTGACTTGTGAGTGCTCACCGGTACCAATTCCAAGTACCGACACCACGAGATCCAAAACACAATGACAGATGACGGTCAACAAAAAGACCTTTGTGATTCGCCGATGTGTCCGGTGCACCCGCCGCTGGCAATGCACCAACTACTTTTGGCTTTAAGCATCGGTGGCCGGTATCGGCATCCTTCACGAATAACGGCACCTGGAAATAAGTTTAGAATCTGCCGTGGGGGTCTCTCGTTGCAAGTATGGAAAGGGGTTTGAAATTGGGTTAAGCTAGTATGGTTCGAAGCTGACCCGCGTGCGCGCGCGTGTCCAGGCTACTACACGCACGTGTCGACGCTGGCCGACGTGCAGGAGAACGTGATGGAGTACCTGCACGTGCTGAGTCGGCCCATGGTCATCAACCACGACCACGACATCATCTGGACCGAAGCCTACATGGACACCGTGGTGAGAGCCCGACCCCCCGCTCGCTCATACAGGCCACGCACGGCAGGCTGGCGCCTGCGCGGGCGCGCCTCTCGGCACCGTCTCCGTCCTCTTCATCTTCATCTTG